CTGGCCTACCATGCATCAAGACGCTAAGGAGTTAGTGCAAAAGTGCGACCGTTGCAATTGCTACAAGCCGGTACCAGTACTACCTGCTAGCGAGCTACACCCATAGACGAGTCCTTGATTGTTTATACAGTGGGCAATCGACCTGGTAGGGCCAATGTCTCCCGCTGCTGGGGGCAAAGGCATGATGATTGTAGCAACTGATTACTTCACCAAATGGGTAAAAGTAGAGCCCATGATAACCATGACTCAGACGAACATAGAGCGCTTCATATGAAGAAACATCAATTGCCAATTTGGCATCTCTCAATCCATCGTCACGACAATGGCCTGCAATTCGTGGGCAAAGATTTGGCGAAGTTCTTCCAAAAATATGGCATCAAAAAGCACATGTCCATGCCAGGATATCCTCAAGACAATGGGCGGCCTGAAGCATCCAACAAGATGATTCTCGATTGCCTCAAGAAATCCTTTACCAACAAGTAGGGAAAATGGCCAGACGAACTCCCCGGATATCTATGGGCATATCACACCACCAATAGATGAGCAACCGGTGAGACTCATTTCTCTTTGGCATTTGGCTCAGAAGTAATCATTCATCCCAATGTCATCAAGCCAAGTATCGCCGCTCTACTACCAAGCATTAAGCAAAACAGTACAGAAATGGCTACAAGCTTAGCTCTGGCAGAAGAGAAGAGAGAGCAGACCATCACCTGCATCGCAGCCTACCAACAGCAGCTCTTTTCCAGCTACAACAAAAGGGCCAAGATCCAGCAGTTCCAGCCTGAAGATCTAGTCCTAAGAAAAGCCTTCAGCACTGCCTACAAAGAATGGTCCAAAAAGATGGATCCCATCTAGGAAGGTCCGTACAAGATCAGCAGAGTATGCAGCAAAAGTAATTACACCCTCGCCACCATGAAACGACAAAAATATCGAAATGCAGTGGAACACCTACAATCTAAGGAACTACCATGTGTGACCTCCCACTACATCAAAGCCCGAAGACTCAAGCTGCTCGACAAGCACCACCTCACAAGCCGAGGATTATCCAATTGTTATGGAATTCTTACCTTACAACTAAGTTCTTGTTCGTTTCACTCATTTTTCAATGAGGAATTCAGAGGTAATCTGCAACTTGGCTCGGCTACATGCTTACGACAACTGATCACTCCTGCATTTCAAAAGAAGACTGCACCCTTCTCAGGGACTCATTGTAGGAATTACGCCCCCCAGAGGGACTAACCATGCTCCCTAGTGCAAGAGGGTAAACCAATTCCCCAACACTTACATGGGTCTGCTCTCTTGTGCGAGAGGATAAACTAATTAATCTCCAGTGCGAGAGGGTAAACCAATTCCCCGACACCCATATGGGTCTTTGATATGAGCATATTTATGCGACTGAGTTAGCTTGTTTTCATGCATTTATGTTGTTATTTCTTAGTTAATTATGTATTTTAAGCTATTTTCGTGTGTTTGTAGGTCCATAGGCCTTATAAAGCAATAAGATGCATTTTGGTGCATTTTGGAGCAGTTTTGGGCTTGGAATGGATAGCATATGCATGGAGCAAGGTGAATGGATGAAATTGAAGACTAAAGAGGCTAGGAATGTGTTAAAGAGAAAGAAGAATTAATGTAAAAAGGATAAAGAGCTCAGCCACAAAGGGGTGTCACTCCACCATTCACTTTTCCATCATTGTCGTACACCACTATTGCACTTCCTTTGGATTCCTATGCCATGCATCATCATCCATGTTCCCTTCATTGACTCATTTGTTGCATCATTCCACTTCCTTTCCTTTGTCTACCATGTGCACAATATCCTTTCACCTCCTTGCACTCACTGATTCACCACTTACTCACCTTTCCACCCATGCCATGCATAATCACCCTTGTCCCCTTCATGCACTAGATTTCTTGCACTTATTTCATGCACCATTACACTCATTACACTTCATTGTCGTGCACCACCCTTGTCTCCTTCATTATTTCTGATTTCATGCATCAATACATTGAATCATTACACTCAATTGATGCACACTCCTTGTTCCTTTCACCTATTAGATTTCATACAACTTTTACCTCCACTACATGCACTCATTGATGCACCATCCACCACCTTTGGAATCCCATGCCGTGCATCATGACATTTGCTGCACCTTTGACTCATTTTTGCACCATTCCACCTCCCTTTCCTTTCTATACCATGTGCACAATCATTCATGTTCCCTAGCTGCAACACCACTCCATTTTACCCCCCAAGCTTTGCATCATCACTTCACTTTCACCTTTGAATCTTTTGACACCACTCCTTGCACTCATTGCTGCAACACCACTCCATTTTACCCCCATGCTTTGCATCATTACTTCATTTTCACCCTTGAATCATTGCACACACCACCAATTCACCTTCCTTGCCGTGCACTTCCCCTATAAAAGGAAGTGTGTGTGGCAGCCATAGAGTTTAGTTTTTGCTTGATCATTGATCCCCATTTCAATACAACCTTCATCCAAACACATTCATTCATCTTTACATCCATTCCTCCATATAAACAAACCTTCAAACACTCACCAACACCTTGTGTCATAGCAAAGGAAGGGAAGGAAAATGCTTGGACATGCTTGCTGTCCAACTTGGATCGTTGGAACGTTTAGGTGTTTTCTTTCTTTTGTTTCCGATGTTTAATTCATTTTCTTTCGTTTTGTTGTGAATATGAGTGGCTAAACCCCTCTTAGCTAGGGGTGATTTCAAAGCCATGATTATGTTTGTAATATGATTTGATAAATTCCAGTTATGAACTCTTGAATCGTGAATGCAATTGGCTTAACTATTTGATTGATAACTTATTTGTATTTGTTAATTAAGGGTCGACACTTAATTGGCATGCATAAATCCGTTGCTAGAGTATAAGAAAGTTTCACAAAATCATTACAAACTTATATTCACATGTAGTGAAGGTCGCTTATAAACGATCGCATTAAGTTCAATTCCTAGCATAAGCGACATGATGTCATAGTTGCAAGTGCTTATGATTTTCATTAAACGAAATGATCTTTGATTGTATCTCTATTATGAAGTCATGTAGGGAACTTTTGAAGAAGGTTTTGGGTTGTCGAATGATGTCATCCAATCCAATAAAACAAGGAAAATCTGAGAGTTATCTAGTGATGCCACAGTTAATTTGGAGCATTGTTGTTCATAATTCAATGAAGTAGTAACTGGAAATCGAGTTGTTTGCATACATATCATGTGTGGAGAAAAAGCCTCTAGCTATCCCATCCATCATCTTATTTCTCAAATTTGTTTTACAATCTGTCTAGTTTTTCATACTTGTTTGTTTGTTTCAACTTCGTCCAAAACTCACTCCCCCTTTACTTTAGTGTGTCTAATTAGTTAGAATCTGTTTTAATTTGTGTTTTTAAATGTTTTGATTCAAGTAAAAGTCAATTTTCGTCCAAAGTCATTCGTAGTGTCTAGTTTAAGTTTATTTAGTTGTTTTAAGCTGTTTTGAGTATTTTAAGTTTGCTTTGAGTCTTGTGAGTCTTGTTAAGTATTTTTAAGTTTAGTTTTATGTTTTTGAGTCAATTTAGAGGTTATTAGCAAGCCCTCCTAATCCCCGGTCCAGAACAATCCCTACTTATACTTATACTACAATTGTCAAAAGAGGGTTAAATTTGTGTGTTAAGTTAACTTTCGCATCAGTCTTCTCTCCAAGGCAGGGGGATAAACTTACACTCCGAATATCCGGACGTGGATGAGCCGGGCTGCCCTAGTATAACTAGGTGCATGATGGCTTATGCCGGGATTCCTAGAAGTAGCCACAATAATCATAAGACGAAACATGAATTTTTGGGTCAAAAGGACAAAATTACCCTCGAGGCACATCGGGATTCCTACGCGCAAGCAGTGGGCAATCATCTCTCAACCAAGTCAAAAATGCCCAAAATAGGTAACAATTCAAAACCTATTTCATCCATCCTCATTAAATCCTCTCCACAAGGTAACTCCCAAATCATTCCTCTTTTATTATATTAATTAGCTAATCAATTAGGAAATTATTCTATTAATTAGCTAATTAATTGATTTATTATTCAATTATTCCTAATTAGCTACAAATCATGAACCTCACCCAAAATACCAACCAAGTGGCTGGTCCTCCTCCTCCTAAAGGGGAAGAATCTATGAGGGTTCTACTCTAGTACTTTATAATACAATTTTTTTAATAGCAATTTATAATACAATTGATACCTCTCGAAGTTGATATGTGATTACAAAACATCAAATATAACACTTATATTTAGTCATATTTTCAAACACGCACATTATGTATATAATTTGATCAAATCCAAATTTAATCTAACACTCTAATTTAATTTTAAAAAAAAAATTACTTCTTTCAAAACCGTAGCCACATAATAAGAGGAAATAATACCAAGGAGAGTCGTGAGAAACAAGAAAGGTTTTGGGGGTCTCCCCCTGGAATCCCTCTTCACAAGTTCTTATTCTAGTCTTTTGTGTTAGATTTGTGTGTCCCTACTTTTTGACAAGGTTTGTCTGATTGTTTGCCAGATCTACCTCATTGGTTTCGCTCTATGGTGTTTATGTCTCCCTTGGCTGGGTATATGATTGGGGCTTCCTTGCCATATGAAATCTGTGATGGGTTTGCTGTGAATTAGATGGGTGGATTTTGTCCGCTTTCTTAAGTGCTTGTAATTAGGGGTGGGCGCGGTGCGGTTTGGTGCGGTTTCGAGTGAAACCACAACCGAAATCGAAACTTTTTGCGGTGCGGTGCGGTGCAGTTTTGAAGCCAAAACCGAAATGAAACCAAACCGTTTGGTTCGGTTCAGTGCGGTTTCAAACGGTTTCGGTTTCGGTTTCAAACGGTTTTTGTGCACAAAACTGCACAAAAAACAGCAGCAAAAATTACACCACAACTGCACCAAAACTGCACCAAAAAACTGCACAAAACTGCACAAAAAAACTGCAAAAGAAAAAATAGCATTAAGTTAATATTGTTTTTTTTCTTCAGAAAACTGACTACTCGTCATCACGCAAGTCTACCAAAAAAAAACACAGATATTCCACCAAAACTGCAAAAATATCTTAAGACTCTGACATAAAGTTCTAAAGAAAACACTAAACTCTCTACTAACCAGAACCAGATGTGCCCCAATGTTTTTCAACACCTTCCACAGCAGCAACAATAGCCTTTCCCTTTTCAGCTGCTCTTTCCATTCGAGCAATGGCATCATATAAACACTTTGCTATATCAAGTAAAGCAATGACCTCTCCATTCTCCACAACAGGCAAATGTCTGAATTTCCCTATAAATGCAGAAATCATCATGTAGAAAGAGCAAACCACAATAAGATCGTATGCCAAGAAGTAAATTTTCCTCTCATTTAATACTAACCTTGCACCATTTTCTGAAGGGCCTCCGTTACTAGCATCAGAGGGTTTCTTCTTGTCCTGCAACGATGTGTTCGTCAATTCTGTTCTCTTCGAAGAACCGCCTTGACTAGCCATCGTCGCCTTCAATAAAAAACCTTTATATTCTCCCTCTTCAAATCCCTGCACCAAAATTAATTTCCAAATTTTATTCATTCCCAAAATACAAATTCCTCAATCTTCGATTTTCACCTCGTTTTCTCCATTTCCAAACATCCCAACCAAATAAACGTGAAAAATATCGGATTCTTTTATTCAATTTTCTTCCATTTTCTCGGCAACCAAACAGAAACAGAAACATAAACTCACCGGACCCAGAAAAAACCTCCTCCTCCTCTTCCTCCTCTACTACAATCGAAATTACGAACATAGAAAAACTAGTGTACAGCACTGAAACCTGCCTAACCCAAGTAGACCAGACAATTTTGATACTAATATCTCAACTTTCGAAAAAAATTACTTACTTTGCCAAACCCAAACCTGCCTAACATTCGAAAGAAATGCACATTTTAAATTATCAATCATGATTCAGTGCATGAGTTTGTTCTCATATTTTCCCCTTTAATCTAACAACATATATGAAATTGAAGACAGGATGAGAAATGTTTACCTCTGCGTGTGTCGACTCCAAGATTGGAGGCAAGGCAGAGATGAAAGCAAGCCGCAGAAGCAGTCGCAGAAGCAGAAGCAAGCTGCAAAAGCAGAAGCAGTTGCAGAAGGCAGTCGCTCGCAGCCTCGCAGGCAGTCGCTCGCACGCAGTCAGGTGACCAGGTCGCTCGCAAAGGCCAGATGCGGAGATGCAAGGAGGCGCAAACCCAGAACCGCAAACCAAATGTATAAGTATAACCTAAACCTAGTTGAATGAACTAAATAAAAATAAAAAAGTGCGGTTTCGGTTTCGGTGCGGTTTTGAAAACCCAAAACCGAAACCAAACCGTTTTGTGTGCCGCGGTTCGGTTTTGAAACCGAAACCGTTTCAAAACCGCAAAACCAAACCGTTTGGTGCGGTTTGATTCGATTCGTGTTTCGGTTTCGGTTTTCGGTTCCAAGTGCCCACCCCTACTTGTAATGATTATAAAAACTCAATTAGAGCTGTCTATACTATAAAATCTCTTTAGGCGAGTTTGTATAGTTTCACTATATGTGATTTTGTTATTGTGATGTCAATTTAGGGAATTTCTACACTAGATTAATGGAGGTGTGATGTTTAGTTTGTTGGATCTACTATTAAATGGTGCTTTGGGATCATGAGGTTATTTGTAGCTACGATATCTGTCCCTACAACGTTCAGATTAGGGTCGGTCTTGAGGCTAGTAGGAGTAGGCGGGCCGCCTAGTGCCTCCACTTAGGAGGGGCCCCCAATTTTTATTTTATTATATATATATATATATTACAAACTTCATGTATGTTTAAATAAGAAATTCACAGTCTTTGAGCCCCTGAGTCTTTGATATATAATTTTTATTAACCATACCAGTTACAGTTGCCTCTGTGGAAAGAAGTTTTTTAAAATTGAAGTTCAAATCTTATCTTCGATCAACTATGTCATAAGAAATATTGAATGAGTTAGTTATTTTATCAATTGAAAAAGAATTGGTTGAAAATATTAGATTATGTAAACTTAATTAATACATTTGCGTCTACAAACACAAGACGTGTAATATTTAAATGATGCTTGTATATCTTTCTTTTTTTAAAATTAATTTTTAATGATATTTGATGTAAAATTAGATTTTTTTCATACACTTAGCGAATTATTTTTTATACATATTAGTGTACAAAGGATTAAGGGTCAGAAAACTGTAGGGCCACACTTCAAAAGCTCGCCTAGAGGCTCAAATTCTCAAGACCGGCCCTAGTTCAGACACTCAATATGAAGAGTTTAATCTTTCACATGATCTTCCAACATTTGATGCTAAGTGATTTCTATGGATCCTTCAGCTCTTTCAACATTTGTGACTATTAATTTTTATTTTTCATTTTTTGCTTGCAAGTATTGTTCTCTTAGTATCATATTCTTCATCTGATTGTAAACTTTTGCCAAGTGCCATTCATTCTTTAATGAATGACGTATGCCGCTTATTAATTTTTTTTTCTTTCAAAAGGTTTAATCTATATCTAATTTTATGTTTTTATAATTTGCCACTATATCTTGTGGATCCTCACACAATGTCCTAACCAATAAATTAATTTGCTACATTTTAATTGATAATCAAATGTGTTTGTTCCATACTTGACCAATCCTGAAACTACTGAGCACCGGTCAACGTTATACCGTCAAGGACCCAGAAGAGTTTCCCTCCAACCAGGAGGCCAATCACAGCACGACATGTGTCGACATCAAAAGCCAATCAGTGTGACATGTGTCAACATCAGAAGCCAATCACAACACGACACGTGTCAATGTCAGAATGAAACTAGAAACTCTCTTCTATAAATAGAGATCATTCTCTCACAATATTTCCTAATGTCATTTGTACTAAATCATTCACTAGTACTCACTAAAGGAGAGCTTGAACCTATGTACTTGTGTAAACCCTTCACAATTAATGAGAACTCCTCTACTCCGTGGACGTAACCAATCTGGGTGAATCATGTACATCTTGTGTTTGCTTCCCTGTCCCTATCCGTTTACATACTTATCCACACTAGTGACCGGAGCAATCTAGCAAAGGTCACAAACTTAACAATTTCTGTTGTACCAAAGTCCTCACTGATTTTATGCATCAACATTTGGCGCCGTCTGTGGGAAACGACACTTATTCCCATTCTCTTTAGCTTTGTCAAGTTGGTTTCCACCATTCGTACACTCTCTTTTGACCAGGCATCCCTCTCCGACATGAGGAGCGAAGGAAGCCATAACACACATAATGACACCCCTCTTGCACCTAGTGCGAAGCAACGAAAGAAGGAAGGAAAGAGGGTTGCTCTTCAAGCTAAAGTCGATGAGCTAGAAGCTCAAAACAACAAGATAGCAATGAAGAATGAAGTCCTTCAGGAGCAGTATGAGAAGCTCTTTGAGACGCTCCATGAAACTATGCGTACTCAAACACGCGAGCTTGTTACCCCTATGGACATTAACCATCATCTGGGTGCCCCCCAACACGGAGGGTCACCTTCCTTCGACATGGATATCCCTGATGAGGAGCGAGCTAATCATCAAAACATTGATCAACATGAGACTTCTCTCAACCCAGCTGCTTCGACCCGAAGCAGGAGAAGTGGAGGAAGACACCTCCTTGCATAAGGGTTGGAAGGATCGAAAGCCGTTTATCGTGACTGCCGAGACTTCCTAAGGCAACGTCAAGAGAATCCCCTCCACATATGCTCGAAGATCAATGACCCAAGGGTTAATGAAAGACTCGGTCCCCTCCCACGACCCAGGCTAGCTGCCAATCTAGGGAAGGAACGACATGTCCTAGAGGAACATGAAGGTACAGGGGACTATGAGGTATTCCGACAGACTCGTCCTAGAAGTTAGTACAGCAAGTCCAAGGAAAAATCACACGCCCTTGCTCAAACTTTCCTACTTCCAAGAGGCGATAGAGACTTACGAAAGAAAATCTCAGTGGTACATGACTCCACTTAAGACCTCCATATCCTACAGCTCCTTGAGGAAGTAAACAAGTTGAAGGCCGAATGTCAAGCCGAGATACCTGACTGGAACCAACCCAGGCCTGGCCCTCTCACAAGGAGGATCCTCGACACCCCCCTTCAAGCGAAGACAAAACAAAAGCTTGGTTTACAACTCTATACTGGAAGGGATGACCCAATTGATCACCTTAACCTCTTTGAGTCTACCATGGCATATCAGATGCACACCGACGAAGAGCAATGTCTTCTTTTCCCCTCCACCCTCTCTGGCGAAGCTCTAAACTGATATTTCCTTCTTCTACCTAAGACAGTAAACTCATTTGAGGAACTGAGGAAACTCTTTGTCTCTCAACACATCTTTCAGACCGATCGCTTGCATTCTGCAGATAACTTGTACACTGTTCGCCAGAAGCCGGACGAGTCACTACGAGAGTATGCTGGTCATTTCAGCCATGAGTATTCTCGCTGCGCTGAGGCAGATGACAAGATCGCCCTCAAGGCCTACGTGATTGTTTCTTTAAGTACATGATCAATGCCAACATTTGGAAGACTTACTCTAAGGTGATGGCACATGCTTACAACCATGCCTCCGCCGAGGCAAGGACATATCAAGGGAAACCCCCCACAACCACCCCTTATCAGCAAGTAGGGAGTGGAAGCCAGATCCAACCAAATGAGAAGACCTCGATCTTCCAAACGGCAGCGGTGCCTCCCCCTGCCTTACTTAATACTTTGCCAAGTCAACATACATATCAATCTCAGGGCAAAAGGAAAGATTTCCATTCTCACCAGTCTCATTTTAGTAAAAGGAGTAAGGGACACTACCGCGATAACCAAGGGTATCACCATGATAATCCCCGACCCTAGGCAGTCAACACAATAGGTCAAGCACGTGTCAGGACAGCCCCTACCCCGAGGTATGAGACATACACACCTTTGAACACCACATGCGTGGCCATTTACCCTAGCATAGCACACTTGATACCGAAGCCAAAGCCGAGGCACCCGGATTACAAGCCCACGAAGAACACAGGCACGTTTTGCTGCTACCACGAGTATAACGGCCATGACGGTGAGAAGTGTATCACCCTTCGTGATCATATTGAAGCTTTGGCACGTGAACGAAAAATTGATCAATTCCTCTTTCACCCTCCAAGGGGTAACCGTAACCAACGCCAGGTAAATGTGATATATTCCATAAGTGGTGGCACACCATATCTAAATCTTCCAACAGGGCCATGAAAAATAGTGAACGAGCTTTAAGGTTTGGCCACCAAGTGTTTCACGTGGAAGACATCAGGGGAGGTAAGTATCAAAAGCCTAACTGGGATCCAATATGTTTCTACCCTGAGGAAGAAAGAGGTATCATCTACCCTCACAACGACCCACTGATCGTGGAAGCTCACATAGCCAACTTTGAAGTACGACGAATCCTGTTAGACACGGGGGCTTCGGTCAATATCATGTTTGCTGAAGTTTTCAGGGCACTTAATGTAGCTGAACACTTGCTCGATCGCTCGATTTCCCCTCTCATAAGCTTCTCCGATGATATCGTGCAACCTTTGGGGAGCATACACTTACCTTTCATTGGTACATGCCCTTACACAGCTACCATTACCACTAACTTCCTGGTGGTTGATTGCTTAACGGCATACAATGTCATCTTTGGACGCACAGGCATCAATGATCTCAGGGCCATGGTATCCACATATATGTTGTTGATGAAATTTCCAACCCCCTACGTTAATGGTTACATCAGAAGAGATCAACTTAGTGCATGATCATGTTACAACACTTCGGTTAAGCAACAACACCTGCCTGTGTCTAAGGAAACCCTTTCTATACTTGACCAAGTCATAAATACTAGCCCAGACGAAGCCAACTTGGATCTTCACAGTGGCAATAGTCAACCCGACGATCCTCGAGATGACTCTTTTACCCAGCAAGCACAACCCGTTGAAGAGTTGGAGAAAATCTCTATCTCAAAAGATTATTCGGATCACATGGTGAAGATTGGCACCACCTTGTCACCACCTATTCGGTTGGCATTAATCTTGTTTTGCAAGAGAACACTGAGGTCTTTGCCTGGTCATACGAGGACATGCCAGGCATCTTTCCCGATATCATCTGTCATCGCTTAAGTATTGACCCCAAGACCAGGCGAGTGAGACAGAAGCGAAGATCTTATGACGCTAAACGGTACAAGGCAATGAAGGCAAAAGTTGAAAAACTCAAAGGCATAGGCTTCGTCCGCAAAGTCAATTATCCAACGTGGGTAGCAAATGTTGTCCTTGTTAAGAAGAATCCTATTGGAAATATACCCTGAAAGTCAATCTTTGGAAGAAACCTTTCAGGACAATGAATGAATGTATAGATGACTCTTATACATCAAATGGC